CCCATCATTGGTGTCAGTGGGAGGAATAGTGCCCCATCATTGGTATCAGTGGGAGGCATAGTGCCCCATCATTGGTGTCAGTGGGAGGAATAGTGCTCCATCATTGGTATCAGTGGGAGGAATAGTGCCCCATCATTGCCCCATCATTGGTGTCAGTGGGAGGAATAGTGTCCCATCATTGGTGTCAGTGGGAGGAATAGTGTGCCATCATTGGTATCAGTGGGAGGAATAGTGTCCCATCATTGGTATCAGTGGGAGGAATAGTGTCCCATCATTGGTGTCAGTGGGAGGAATAGTGCCCCATCACTGGTGTCAGTGGGAGGAATAGTGCCCCATCATTAGTGTCAGTGGGATGAATAGTGCCCCATCATTGGTATCAGTGGGAGGAATAGTGCCCCATCATTGGTGTCAGTGGGAGGAATAGTGCCCCATCATTGGTGTCAGTGGGATGAATAGTGCCCCATCATTGGTATCAGTGGAGGAATAGTGCCCCATCATTGGTATCAGTGGAGGAATAGTGCCCCATCATTGGTGTCAGTGGGAAGAATAGTGCCCCATCATTGGTGTCAGTGGGAAGAATAGTGCCCCATCATTGGTGTCAGTGGGAGGAATAGTGCTCCGTCATTGGTGTCAGTGGGAAGAATAGTGCCCCATCATTGGTGTCAGTGGGAGGAATAGTGCCCCATCATTGGTATCAGTGGGAGGAATAGTGCCCCATCATTGGTGTCAGTGGGAGGAATAGTGCCCCATCATTGGTGTCAGTGGGATGAATAGTGCCCCATCATTGGCATCAGTGGGAGGAATAGTGCACCATTATTGGTGTCAGTGGGAGGAATAGTGCCCCATCATTGGTATCAGTGGGAGGAATAGTGCCCCCCCATTGGTGTCAGTGGAATAGTGCCCCATCATTGGTGTCAGTGGGAGGAATAGTGCCCCATCATTGGTATCAGTGGGAGGACTAGTGCCCCAACACTGATGTCAGTGGGAGGAATAGCACCCTATCATTGGTGTCACTGGGAAGAACAGTACCTCATTGTTGGTGTCAGTGAAAGAAATAGTGCCCCACTGTTGGTGTCAGTGGGAGGAAGAGTGCCCCTTTGTTGGTGTCAGTGGGAGGAAGAGTGCTCCATCCTTGGTGTCAGTGGGAAACGTACTGTACTGCCCCATCGCCGGGTTCAGTTGGAGGAATAGTGTGCTATTGTCAGTGTCAGTGGCAGGAACTATGCCCCATTGTTGGTGTCACTGTGCCCCATCCTTGGAGTCAGTGGGAGACGTACTGTAGTCCCCATCACTGGGGTCAGTGGGAGTTATAGTGCCCTATTGTCAGTGTCAGGAACTATGCCCCATTGTTGCTGGCAAATGGGTGGGGGAATAATGCCCCAGGGTCCGGATAAAAGCAAGCAAAGGGCCACATCTGGCTCTCAGGCCACAGTTTGGAGACAACTGGTTTAGAATAAATCTGGCCATACACTGGAAGATTTCTCTCGTTCAGCCCTGGTGAAATCACTTCCCTTGCCACCTATTGTATAAAATCAAAGTAGGCGGGCAGAAAATAGTCAGCTGAACAGCTGCTACAACCAGTTAGATGCAGCCACAGTTTGGGTGCTCTGACAGTCATGGGCGCTGGCTGTCAGAATACCTGAACAATGACTGCAACTGATTGGCTGCAGTTAGTCTGACTGACAATTTTCCTCCCAGCTCTTTTGCTCTTCAGACATGGCCACCTATGGCTCAAATTTCGGCAAGTTCATTATGAGCCAGCCACAATCCTCTCCATATATCAGTGGTTCTCAACCTGGGGGTCGCGACCCCTTTGGGGGTCAAACGACCCTTTCACAGGGGTCGCCTAAGACCATCGGGAAACACATATTTCCGATGTGTACGGAGCAGCTACTGTGTAGAAAGCAGCTACTGTGTAGAAAGCAGCTACTGTGTTGAAAGCAGCTACTGTGTAGAAAGCAGCTACTGTGTAGAAAGCAGCTACTGCGTAGAAAGCAGCTACTGCGTTGAAAGCAGCTACTGCGTTGAAAGCAGCTACTGCGTTGAAAGCAGCTACTGCGTTGAAAGCAGCTACTGCGTTGAAAGCAGCTACTGCGTAGAAAGCAGCTACTGCGTAGAAAGCAGCTACTGTGTAGAAAGCAGCTACTGTGTAGAAAGCAGCTACTGTGTAGAAAGCAGCTACTGTGTTGAAAGCAGCTACTGTGTTGAAAGCAGCCGTATTGAAGGTAAAACGACACTCATGAATTCTAATTACTGGGTAATAATTTTATGGTTGGGGGGTCACCATAACATGAGGAACTGTATTAAAGGGTCGTGGCATTAGGAAGGTTGAGAAACCACTGGTATATATGGACAACGTAAGGCAGAACTCCACTCACTCTCTCAGTCAACATTGACTGTTTTTGGTCTTTATGCTGCTAACATTAGTACATACACTGTAGATAGGAAATTATATTATAGTTAGGTGTTTTAAACCTTTTTCTACATGTCTTCAGTCACTTCCTGGTTTCCATGCCTATGCAAATGATGTCATACATCCCAGGAGTCTTCACGAAGGGAGAGAGGGTTCTCAGCCAATGTCTGAGCTAAGGGCAGATGGACTCCAGGAAGTAAATGCTACATAAATCATCTGCCCATACTGAAGATGGCCACTGCCAGTATTTGCAGAAGAAAGCTGATTGTCTTGTCTGACTTGGAAGACACGGCCAAGTGATCCAGCCAGATCTGTAGAGGCGAGGGCAGAGCCGATTGTCACGTAGAGGTGGGTTGTGGGTGGGTTGTCTACACGCCTCTCCACACACACGTGTGGCTGCCTGACAATGACAAGAGACCTGTCCCGACAATCCCAACCAGTCACATGCTTGTTATGATGCAAATCTGTCATTTCCCCACACTCCGCCCTAGTAGCCAGATAACGCGGCCTATGAGAACTCTTTCTGATCTATGCTGAACACAGAGGGCTCGGCTGCATGCAATGGTGGAAGCCACGAGCCACGGCAGTTGGATTCCAGGAAGTAAATGCTACATAAATCGTCTGCCCTTAAGTAAGATGGCCACTGCCAGTATTTGCAAGGGGTGTTTCTCAAAACGAATTCTCGGTAAAGTAAAGCTCAGAGACATGGATGGATTGGGGAGTTTGCTTTGAATATTAACGATGAATTAAATAATGTGTTTGGTTTGTGGTGCTCAAATGCAGTGCAGTTCCACTTGAATGAAAGTGTTACTAAACCCCCCGCAGTACAATCAGTCTGTAGATGCAGTAAAGCATGCTTGTTATACTCACTGTGGGACCTAAGGGGTTAATCCTCTGCTTTGTGTAAAAAGGCTGTCTGATCCAGTCTTCTCTGATCCTCCCCTTCTTCCAGTGCTCCCCTCTTATCTCCTGATAAGACATATGGTGTGGAGACACTCTGCACATGCTCAGCTTGGTGTGTACTGCTAGAGGTTTTTTTTTTCTTGGTAGAGTGCATGTGATTTGCACAGGGCCAATCAGCACTGTCCAGCCAGAAGTCAGGGGTTCTGCATCTTCCTAGAGCAGAAAGAAAACTCATCCTATAAGCTTTATCCAGTGCTCTGCTGGACACTGATAGAAGTCACAAGACTGCTATATACTGCTGATGAGAAAAGGTATTTAGCAGTTTATATTTACTAAAATAATTGCATTTCCATGTTCTGTGTACTGTGGGAGAGCGGATATAGTGAATGCGGGGTCCGGGGAGACTAGATATAGTGAATGCGGGGTCCGGGGAGAGTGGATATAGTGAATGCGGGGTCCAGGGAGAGCGGATATAGTGAATGCAGGGTCCGGGGAGAGCGGATATAGTGAATGCAGGGTCCGGGGAGAGCGGATATAGTGAATGCGGGGTCCGGGGAGAGCGGATATAGTGAATGCGGGGTCTGGGGAGAGCGGATATAGTGAATGCGGGGTCCGGGGGAGAGCGGATATAGTGAATGCGGGGTCCGGTGAGACCGGATATAGTGAATGCAGGGTCCGGTGAGACCGGATATAGTGAATGCGGGGTCCGGTGAGAGCGGATATAGTGAATGCAGGGTCCGGTGAGACCGGATATAGTGAATGCGGGGTCCGGTGAGAGCGGATATAGTGAATGCGGGGTCCGGGGAGAGCGGATATAGTGAATGCGGGGTCCGGGGAGAGCGGATATAGTGAATGCGGGGTCCGGGGAGAGCGGATATAGTGAATGCGGGGTCCGGGGTTTAGTGACACTTTAAGCAGAACACACAGTGGCTAAATGATTAGCACTTCCGCCTGGCAGTACTAGGGCTGTTGGTTCGAATTCAAGCCACGGCAGCTCCTGCCTGGAGTTTGCATGTTCTCCCTGTGCCTGTGTGGGTTTCATCCCACACTCCAAAGACATGCTGCTAGATGAATTGGCTCCTGTCTAAATTGTCCCTAGTATATGTATGAATGTGAGTTAGGGACCTTAGATTGTACGCCCCTCGGGGGCGGGGACTGATGTGAATGTACAATATATATGTAAAGCGCTGTGTAAATTGACGGCGCTATATAAGTACCTGAACTAAATAAATACATAATAAAGTGGAAGTAGTGAGAAGGGTAGAAAAGAGGGGAGGATATGGTTAGGCGACAACCCCTTGTTTGCCCACAAAGCCCAATGGATGATGATAAAATGATTATTTATCGGTCTGAGGAGAGATTGGTGGAGAGCTATGGTGTCCACATTCTCACGAATCTATCATGGAGGTCAATAAGGATGCTCTCATTACCCATAAACCCGTTCATTCTGTGTCTGACCCCCTCATAAGGTAAAGTCTGTTTTTTCCAGAAGCAGACAAAGGCTTGGCTGCAAATGGAACCAAAATTGCCAATTCCTTTGGAATCTAATATTTCCCTTTTTTCACAAGAAAAGGGTTTTATAGAACATCCGGGGTACATAATAGAATTCTTCTTTAGATCTACTAATGATGTCACTCCACTTCCTCAAACTCCCTCCCCTCATGCCAGGGTACTATGTGTCATCCTAGACTCCCATCTGTCCTTCCAGCCCCAGATCCATTCGCTGTCCAAATCTTGTAGACTTCACCTCCGCAACACCTCCAACCTCCGCAACACCTCCAACCTCCAACACCTCCAACCTCCGCAACACCTCCAACCTCCGCAACACCTCCAACCTCCGCAACATCTCCAAGATACGCCCGTTCCTAACCTCGGAAACCACTAAGCAACTCATTCACTCCCTTGTTATATCTCACCTTGACTATTGTAACTCCCTCCTCATTGGATTACCTAATCACAGGCTATCCCCTCTTCAGTCTATCATGAATGCTGCTGCCAGACTCATCCACCTTACTAACCATTCTCTATCTGCCTTCCCTCTCTGCCAATCCCTCCACTGGCCTCCATTCAGTGTCCTCCACCCTTCTCTGCCAATCCCTCCACTGACCTCCACTCAGTGTCCTCCACCCCTCTCTGCCAATCCCTCCACTGACCTCCACTCAGTGTCCTCCACCCCTCTCTGCCAATCCCTCCACTGACCTCCGCTCAGTGTCCTCCATCCCTCTCTGTCAATCCCTCCACTGACCTCCATTCAGTGTCCTCCACCCCTCTCTGCCAATCCCTCCACTGACCTCCATTCAGTGTCCTCCACCCCTCTCTGCCAATCCCTCCACTGGCTTCCCATTGCCCAACAGATAAAATTCAAAACATTAACAATAACATATAAAGCCATTTATAACTCTGCACCAAATTACATCACCAATCTTGTCTCCAAATATCACCCAAACCGTCCTCTCCGCTCCTCCCACCGCCTCCTGCTCTCTAGCTCCCTTGTCTTCTCCTCCCATGCTTGTCTCCAGGTCTTCTCCAGAGCCTCCCCAGTCCTCTGGAACTCTCTACCCCAATTTATCAGACTTTCGCCTACTCTGCTCACTTTTAGGCGATCTCTGAAAACCTCTCTCTTTAGGGAAGCCTATCCTGCCCTCAGCTAATAACGGAATCTTCTATTCCTCCTGCCAGTCCATCCCCCACAGTTATTACCTCTTGTACCACTAGCCCCTCCCTCCTAGATTGTAAGCTCCCAGGATCAGGGCCCTCCTAACCCTAGTTAGTTAGACATGTAGATTCAACTGAAGGTATGTGAAGAGTATGATCAGCACACAAAGGAACATAGGATCCTTCCAAAAGCCATGGTATCGAGTAACAGTCCATAATGAGCCCATTTGAGGCCATACATCCTATGCAGCACGAATGTCAGTCATCCCAGAGCAAGCCAACTCTCTCTTAGATTGTAAGCTCCCAGGATCCGGGCCCTCCTAACCCCCTTGTATTGAACTGTATTGTTGCTGTATTGTCTCCTGTTATATTGTAAAGCGCTGAGCAAACTGTTGGCGCCATAAATCCTGTATAATAATAAAAATACTTTTATTGATAGTCATCAATCTATCAACACCCCCCCCCCCTCCCCCCCCCCCCCCCCCCCCCCCCCCCCCCCCCAATTTTTGTCCTATGGAACGGAAGATCTACTTTAGAAGGTAAATAAGCCGATCACACGTAAAAGACCAGACCGAAGAAACCTGATTGTCTTGTCTGACTTGGAAGACACGGCCAAGTGATCCAGCCAGATCTGTAGAGGCGAGGGCAGAGCCGATTGTCATGTAGAGGTGGGTTGTGGGTGGGTTGTCTACACGCCTCTCCACACACGTGGGGCTGCCTGACAATGACAAGAGACCTGTCCCGACAATCCCAACCAGTCACATGCTTGTTATGATGCAAATCTGTCATTTCCCCACACTCCGCCCTAGTAGCCAGATAACACGGCCTATGAGAACTTTCTGATCTATGCTGAACACAGAGGGCTGGGCTGCATGCAATGGTGGAAGCCACGAGCCACGGCAGTGCCCCTAGACAGTGGTTCTTAACCTGGGTTCGGTGAGTCAGTCTCGGGGGTTCGGCGGAGGTGACCCACACCCGACTCATATGATTTGTGATGACATGCCCCGCTTGTCCATCATTGGCTGCAGGTGGTCACGCAACATCGCTTAGCCCAGTGGTCGGCAAGCCGCGGCTCTTGTGTGCCGGGCGCCCGCTCCCCTCCCTCCTCTCGGGCGGCAGGGACTCAAATGCAATGATTGGCCAGTCTCGCTGCCACTCACATCCTGATAGCCAGTGATTGGCTGTCAGGATGTGTGTAGGCGGGGCAGCGTGACGAACGTGAGAGGAGCTAGGCTCCTCTCACAGTCCGCCCTGAAGACCGGAACGGCGCGGGAATACAGCGAGAGGAACGCGCGGAGCAAAGGTAAGTGAATTGACACAGGGGGGACTTGGGGACTCAATATGGGGGATGAATTAATATGGGGAATGAATTACTATAGGGGGGATGAATTACTATATGGGGGATGTATTACTATGGGGGATGAATTACTATATGGGGGATGTATTACTATGGGGGATGAATTACTATATGGGGAAGGAATTACTATAGGGGGGATGAATTACTATATGGGGGATGTATTACTATGGGGGATGAATTACTATATGGGGGATGAATTACTATGGGGGATGAATTACTATATGGGGAAGGAATTACTATAGGGGGATGAATTACTATATGGGGGATGAATTACTATATGGGGGGAGGAATTACTATATGGGGGATGAATTACTATATGGGGGATGAATTACTATGGGGGATGAATTACTATATGGGGGGAGGAATTACTATATGGGGGATGAATTACTATATGGGGATGAATTACTATGAGGGATGAATTACTATAGGGGGGATGAATTACTATAGGGGGGATGAATTACTATAGGGGGGATGAATTACTATGGGGGATGAATTACTATATGGGGGATGAATTACTATAGGGGGGATGAATTACTATATGGGGGATAAATTACTATATGGGGGATGAATTACTATATGGGGGATGAATTACTATATGGGGGATGAATTACTATGGGGGATGAATTACTATGGGGGATGAATTACTATATGGGGGATAAATTACTATATGGGGGATAAATTACTATATGGGGGATGAATTACTATATGGGGGATAAATTACTATATGGTGGATGAATTACTATGGGGGATGAATTACTATATGGGGGATGAATTACTATATGGGGGATGAATTACTATGGGGGATGAATGACTATAGGGGGGATGAATTACTATGGGGGATGAATTACTATATGAGGGATGAATTACTATGGGGGATGAATTACTATATGGGGGATGAATTACTATGGGGGATGAATTTTCATACCGTTTGTTACAACATATCTTTGCGAGCAATCCTTTTCGAGGATGCTGGACATAAAGACGAAGAAAAGGAACAGACTTTGTTGCGAAAATGACATGAGAGTGGCAATTGCCAAGGTAATGCCGCGCATTTCTGAACTGGCCTCTGAAAGACAACAGCAGAAGTCACACTGATTTGCGGTAAATATTCATTATTTTGTTTTTGTGTGAAAATCATGTTTTAATGGTTTTGTTCATTTTGTGCACCTATGTATAAATATATACCTATGTTTTGAATTTTAAAAATCATATTTTATTTTTCCAATTAAGAAGGGTTCGGTGAATGCGCATATGAAACTGGTGGGGTTCAGTACCTCCAACAAGGTTAAGAACCACTGGCCTAGACAGTGTGGTCTATAGAGCTGAGACCTCTGTTTTTATTACAATAAAATTGCATTTTAAAAGTCCCGAGTATTGCTGGGGAATTATGCGATGTTTTGTTCCAACTGTCTGCTTCCACCTGTCTGCTTGTATCTTGTGAATGGAAGAGGACATCTGGTCTCTATGGCCTCATCCACACGAGCCATACTTAAAATGGAACATCACCCAAAAGGGGGAATTCTACTTGTTTGGATCCCCCACCCCCACTGCCACATTTCGCACTTTTTTGGGGGGAGTGGGTACTTGGTTTTGACAGGTACCTGTCCCACTTCTGGTCACCTCGGTGATCTGAGACGGAAGTTAAACCCCCCTCCTTTCCCTGCAGACTCAACACAGGTCCCAGAGGACTGCAGGACCATTCACAAAGCGCTCCGTACATGCGCAGCAGGAGACTGGATGAGAGGTCGCAAGGATTCATTGCTGGTTTCCCTTACTTAAGATGTCGGCGCAAGCACCCAATGCCAACTGAAGAACTGGCCCGGGTGAGGACATTGCTGGATCCCTGGACAGGAAAGTGTCCTTATACTAAGGCTAGGTTCACACCTATGCAGCTTGCATTTGATCCATTTCTGCAGTGCTTTTTGCAGTGCGTTTTTTTCCAACTTGTTGCTGGGCAGATTAAAATGCCAAATGCATCAAAAATGCGGCAAAAGCATTAAAAATGCACTACGTGATTTTCTGCAGCGTCTCCATTGAAGTCTACAGAACCAAAAACGCAACGTTTTGAATTTAAAAAAGTCCACACCTATGCATTTTCCGTTGTGTTTTGTATTTTGCAGAAACGCACAGCAGTCCATTTAACATGATTTCCAATGAGACACGTTCACATCTCCGCGTTTTCACCCGCTGCGTTTTTTGGAAGGGGTCAGGAACTTTTTTTTAACACAAAAAGTTGCGTTTTGGTTCCTAATACTTCAATGGAAACACTGCATTGCTGCACTGTTTCCACTGAAGTTTATAGAACCAAAAATGCAAATTTTTGTGTTAAAAAAAGCATGTGGTGCGTTTTTGCTGCGTTTTAAAAATCTGCCTAGCAACAAGAAGAAAAAAAAAGCAAAACGCGTCAAACGCAGGTGCAAAAACGCAACACAAAATGCACCGCAGAAAAGGCTCAAACGCAAACTGCAAAGTTGTGAACCTCGCTGGTGGGAGGAGACGGCAGGGTGCTGTACATATAGCTTCCTGAATACATCACAGTGGCCTCTCTCAGTTCTCCTATCAAGATCTCTCAGCCATGATGCAAGCAGTGGGCTGGATCATGGGAGGAGTCAGGTGAATAGGTGGGTGTCAATCTGGATTGGGTGTTCCTAGGCAGGCTGTATTTGAATGCAGACACCATAGGTCACACCCACATGTGATGCTGAGCCTTCATGATTGAAAGAACTGAAATCCAATGAATGAAAGGGCGGAAAAGGCTAGAAAATAGGATGGCTGCCTCCCGCAGCTAATCACTGGGAACCCTCCACCCCCAATTGGGGTTCCCACCAATGCACACTGTCCCATTTGCTGGTGTAAATGGGGCCCGATTGATCCCACTTAGTGAATGTTCACACGTTTTTTATAAGCTGCCTATTTTTTGGCATGCGTTGAACTAGGGTTGGGCTGTTTCTATAAATGACACTTGACAATCCTAACTCCGGGCAAGCTTGCTCTCAGTTTATTACGAAATATGTTTTCATAGACACGTCCCAAGACTAGAGCAGTATGGCTGCTAATGAAAACAAACCGAACTGCAAGATCTGTGTTTATTAGAATCGGTTATTATGGCTCCATTTGGCACTTGCCCTTCAGAGGAGTTCTCCTATCAAGATCTCTCAACCGTGATGCAAGCAGTGAGCTGGATCATGGGAGGAGTCGGGTGTATAGGTGGGTGTGTCAGTCTGGAGGAGTGGGTGTTTCTAGACAGGCTGTATTTGAATGCAGACACCATAGGTCACACCCACATGT